GAGCCAGTGCACCTGATGGACAGCTTCAGACCACATCAAATTAAAACCTAACCACTTCCATGAGATATACACTAAAGGGGCAGATTCACTGGGCACAAAAGATCTACTGAAGTGAGTCCTGCTCCATGGGGTTGGCCCTGCATGGCAGCTCCTCCCCTGTAGTTCCAGTGGATCCTTGTAGCCAATAGGCCTAGGGGGTGGGTCAATCCCTTCCAGTGATGCCAGCAGCAATCCATGCCCAACTACAACAGTAGGATGCACACAGCCCACACAAGGATCAGACCTGGAGTTGCTGGTGCAGGTGACTGGGAAGGCTGTGCCACTGGGCCCTACAGGACATCTACTATATAAGGCCACTCTACCAGGAGTTGGAGAAGTAGCAGCTCCACCCAATAAAGTAAAACACACACAGGGAGGCTGCCAAAATGAGACAAAGAGACAAGTGGAGGCAAGCAAACCTCCAGATACAGAATTCAAAACACTGGTTATAAGGATGCTGAAGGCATTCAGTGAGAACTTCAACAGCATAACAAAGGACACGAAAACCATAAAAAAGAGCCAGTCAGAAATAAAGGATACACTAACTGAAATGAAAAATACATGATAGGGAACTAACTGTAGAGTAGATGAAGCAGAAAATCAGATCGATGGCTTGGAAGGTGAAGAAGCAGAAAGTACCCAGTTACAATAGTAAAAAGAAAAAGAATCCAAAAAAATGAAGGTAGTGTAAGGAGCCTCTGGGACAACTCCAAGAGTACCAGCATTTGCATCATGGGGGTGCCAGAAGGAGAAGAGGGAGAAGGAGAAAAAATCGAAAACCTATTTGAAAAAATTCTCTAACCTGGTGAAGGAAACAGACATTAAGTCTTGGAAGCACAGAGTGTTCCAAACAAAATGAACCCAAAGAGGCCCACACCAAGACACATCATAATGAAAATGCTAAGAGTTAAAGACAAAGAGAGAATCTTAAAAACAGCAAGAGAAAAGTAGTTAGTTACCTACAAGGAAGCTCCCAAAGGCTTCTAGCTGATTTATCAATAGAAACTTTCCAGGCCAGAGGGATTGGCACAAAATATTCAAAGTGATGAAAAGCAAGGACCTACAACCAAGATTACTGTACACAGAAAGGCTATCATTTAGAATCAAAGGACAGAAAAAAAAAGAAAAAGCAAAAGGACTTCATCACCAGTATGACAAGAAATGTTAAAGAGTCTTCTTTAAGAAAATGAAGAAGAAAATATGAATAATAAAATAGCAATAAATACATGTCTATCAATAATTATATGCAAATGGATTAAATGCTCCAAATAAAAAGACAGATGGTGACTGAATAGCAAAACAAGACCCTTACACATGCTGTCTACAAAAGACTCACTTCAGATTTAAAGATACACACAGACTGAAAGTAAAGGGATAGAAAAGGATAGGTCATGAAAATGTAAACAAAACAAAAAAAAGCTGGGGTAGCAATACTTATACCAGACAAAATAGAATTAAAAACAAAGTCTATAACAAGAGATTCTGGGTATTTATCCAAAGAAACCCAAAATACTTATACACACACACACACACACACACACACACATACACACACACACATACACATCCATATGTTCATTGCAGTATTATTTACAATAGTCAAGATATGGAAGCAACACAGGTGTCCATCAATAGATATTGGATAAAAAAATACTGCATATATGCAATGGAATATGACTCAGTCATGAAAAAGAATAAAATCTTGCCATCTGCAACAACATGGGTGGGCCTAGAGCAGCCGTGGGCAAACTACGGCCCGCGGGCCGGATCCGGCCCGTTTGAAATGAATAAAACTAAAAAAAAAAAGACGGTACCCTTTTATGTAATGATGTTTACTTTGAATTCATATTAGTTCACACAAACACTCCATCCATGCTTTTGTTCCAGCCCTCCAGTCCAGTTTAAGAACCCATTGTGGCCCTCGAGTCAAAAAGTTTGCCCACCCCTGGCCTAGAGGGTACTGTGCTGAGTGAAATAAGTCACATAGAGATAGACAAATGCCAGATGATTTCACTAATATGTGGAATCTAAAAAAAAAAAAAAAAATCAAACAAGCAGAACAGAAACAGACTCATAGATACAAAAAACATTTTGACAGTTACCAGGTAGGATGGGGTTGAGGGACTGGGTGATAAAGATGAAGGGATTAAGAAGTATATATTGGTTGTTACAGAATAGTCATGGGGATGTAAAGTACAGCATAGGGAATATCCTATATAATAAAGAGCTAATATGCTAATTAGACCGAACAGCAGAACACAGTCCAGATGACCTTCCGGATGAAGCCAGGGCTGCAGGGCTGTGAGGGCTGAGTCCCTTGCATGAATTTCATGCATCGGGCCTCTAGTAGTTAATAATATTATAATAATTACATATGGTGTCAGATGCGTACTAGATTTATCCATGTGATCACTCCATAAGTTTTATAGATGTCTAATTGCTGAGTTGTACACCTGAAACTAATGTAATATTGTATAACAACTATAATGAAAATAAAGAAAAAATATTATTTATGACCTTGCCTTTGTCAAGAGCAACTGGCATTGCTCTCAATTGAAATTGAAAATGTTAACTGAAGTAGAAATTTTGATGATCTGATAAATGAATTTGCAGAAAAGCAAGTCAGAAAATCTTATGATCAATTGAGATATCACATATTAATAAAGTATCATGTTGGAAGCTACCCATTGTCTTAACTATCAGAAAAGTGTAAACAAGGAACCCGGAATGCTGGTGGACCTTGAGCTCTGGCAAAGGCCGAAGCTATGCTCTGATTGTTTAGTTGAGACAATGGTGGCTTAAGCAATTTCCTGAGCAAATAGTCTCAAAGTAAACCTTCACTAATATTTACTGGCCTTTAAGAGAGTCTGTCTGGGGAAAAAAGGAGACATATGTAATACTCTTCGTAATACTTTAAGCAATAAAACAATTAAAAAAAAAAGAGTCTGTCTGCTACCGGAATTGCCTGCCTAAGGGCAATATGTGTATCTAAAATTGAATAAAAGGTGGCAGAGCCTGGGCACCAGCGAAGCCTTTCTTCTTGAGAAAGACTCTCTGCCTGGCCCCCTGTATCCAAATTCATATTTCTTGTCTAGTCTCGTCATTTGCACGTGGCCCTTCTCAAGATCCTGAACCCAAGCCACGCAGGACGTGGCTTTTCACAGTATCACATATTGTATTATATAAATTATGACACCAAAATACTTTTGCAATTTATAACTTTATAGTGTTACTCAGTTATCACTATAACCCCATTATATTCTTAAGGAAAAGCTTTATATTTCAGTTCCTTTTTTAAAAAAGTTTTTACTGACTTTTAGAAAGAGAAGAAGGGCAAGTTAGAGAGAGAAACGTAGATCAGCTGACTCTTGCACGGGATTGAGCCTGGAACCCGGGCATGTGCCCTGACTAGGAATTCAACTGTTGACCCTTCAGTACATGGGATGATGCTCAACCAACTGAGCCACACTGGCCAGGGTTGTATTTCAGTTTCTTTAATGGCACCTTTTCCTGATTTTTGAAAAGGAGTTCCACATTTTCATTTTGACTGGGACACACGAATTAAGTATCTGGCCCTGATTCCAGCTTTACCACTGAAAGCCTGGCCATTTTTGATTGAATCATTTAATCTTTGTAGCTCAGTTTTCTCACCTCTCAAATGGGAATGACATTTATATATACATACATGTATATGTATATATATGTGTATATACGTAGTATATATAGCACACACACAGTGGTTTGAAAAAGTATAGGTGCTTTCAAATATTAGTGGTACTGTTGTTCATATGAGATATTTTTTAACCATTACCCTTCCTTGATTCAAAGTCTTTAAACAAATACACTTCTTATCTAAAATGAAGACATTTAATTCATTTTCTATGAGGCTTTCTAGACTTTTGAGAGAAGTTACACTTGGTCAAAAAGTGTATCATTTTTTATAGACTAGTGATTTCAGGATGGAATTCATTTCTTCTCTGACTAAAAGCAAAGTATAAACTAAAAGTGATGCCCAAACACTAGACTTCAGTCAACACTCATGAAGCCTCAAATTTCAAATAGTGTTTCTGATAAACATTCTGACTTTAAAAATATATATATATATTTATTGATTTCAGAGAGGAAGGGAGAGGGGAGAGATAGAAACATCAATGATGAGAGGGAATCATTGATTGGCTGCCTCCTGCAGGACCTCCACTGGGGATCGAGCCCACAACCTGGGCATGTGCCCTTGACCGGAATCAAACCTGGGACCCTTCAGTCCACAGGCTGATGCTCTATCCACTGAGCCAAACTAGCTGGGGCAACCCTCTGACTTTTAAGCAACTCAACATAAAACCAACACTAGGAGAGCTGAATTCCCCCAGGACCATCCCTGGGCAATCCCAGATATCACACACTGCTGAGTGTAAGCAAAAACACTGCTGTAAAGTCAGGGCACAAACGCCCCGCACTAGGCTGCCTACCAGGAGCTCTGCCAGATTAGAGCACAGAGTCTGAGCGCCAAGTAGGGAGCAAGCAGAAGCCAGGGTCCCAAGCCCGAATGCCCCTCTGCACACCGTCTCTGACAACACACATCCGGACACTGGGACAGGTGACATTGTTAACCCACTGCCATGGGGGTTTCTCTGAATCCTTTATACAAACTCCGGAGTCTCCCCAGAGACCATGTGTACGTGACTGGCATAGGAGTGAGGCTAGGACTTTAGGACAAGCTCTAATGTCAAGAGCCTGACTGAAGGGCCAAGCTTGTAACTGATCAATAGGTTAACAAGCCAGTTGGGGGTAGGATTCCAATTGCTCCACTGCTCAGGCCTCCCAGAAGTTGGCCAACATCTCCCACCTCCAGGGCTGTGAATCCACTTTGCAGTGCTCTCTCTCACTGGCCATCCCTCCCACTGCCTAACCTTTGCCCTTTCTAATTGCTCTGATCTCATCCCAACCTCCACAGCTGTGTTTAAAGTCCACCTCTGGGGAGCAGAGATTGAGTGTTCCCGATAATCCCTTTCCCAGTCCTGCCTGACAGCAGGCCTAGGGGCTGCGTACCTGGGCTTCCTGGGACTGTGGCTGGGGTTCGAGGAGAGACCTCGGCACCTACCTGGCTGCAGGATGAAGCTGGCCACCAGCTCCTTGATTCTGTGGCTGAGCCTGGGGGGTGGCCTGGCACAGAGCGACACCAGCCCTGACGCAGAGGAGTCCTATTCCAACTGGGGCCTCCGGCACATCCGGGGCAGCTTTGAGTCTGTCAACAGCTACTTCGATTCCTTTCTGGAGCTGCTGGGAGGGAAGAACGGGGTATGTCAGTACCGGTGCCGATACGGTGAGTGCACTGTTTCTCCTCCTGTAGCCTCTTGCCGGTGGACTTGTGAGCTGCGCAGGGTCACAGCCGGTCATGAACTTTTTTGCTGTCATCCTCCTCTTGGGTAGGATTGCCAGACTTAAGATGAAAATATAAGACACCCAGTGACATCTGAATCTCAAATAAACAACAGATAGTGTGTTGGTACATTTGAAATACTTGGGGCCACTTATACTGACAAACTATTGGTTGTTTATCTGAAAATCAAATACCACTGGATTTAATCTGGCGCACCAGCTTCCAGAAGCTCTGAGACCTGTTCGCTGGGGCCATTTTAATGGGTTTGCTGTGAGGTGGTACAGTGGGGCCTTAACTTACGAGTGTCCCGAATAACGAGTTTTTCCGAGATACGAACCGTCTCTCGGCCGATTTTTTGCTTTGAGTTGACAGAGTAATTTGAGTTAACGAGCTCCGTCATGGAACGAATTAAACTTGTAAATCAAGGCCCCACTGTACTTCAGGGAGAGGCCACATGGGCGGGAGGAAGAACACGAGAGCAGTTTGAGAATTCCTAGGATGAAAATGAAGCTGAACTTTCAGAGGAAATTTTGCGGGGGAAGAGGGGTTGTGGAAACAGCTTCCTGAGTCACTCTGTGCTAAGCCTGGAATGGGTTCCCCGGGTGCTGCTCACACCTTCCTCCCTGCTTTGTCGTCTCTGCTGGGCTCGCCTTGCTGACTCCCGGGGCAGCGCTGGGAAAGCGCACTGCCAGCTGCCGCTGCCCACCTGGGATCGGGCCTGGTGCCAGGTGCAGGGCTGGGAACGGGGAGGAGCCTCGGGTCCGCAGAGGAGACCGTGGGGCCAGCTCTCCCTCAGGCCCTGGAAGCCCAGGGCATGGGGGCAGAATGCAGGCCCTGGACCTCGCAGCTGGGAGGCAGGGGTAATTCAAATGCAAACGTTTCCAAAAGTATACACAGCCTCATACAGCATCGGTTCTGGGGTTTCATTTACCACAAGTTTCATCGTGGGGTTAGAGATGAAAATGGAGAGCCAGTGCAGCCACAGGAAAGCACTTGAGACATGTTTTCTCCAAACCGTCCACAGATAGGGCTCAGCTTTGAGAGAGACTCCCCCGGGCTCCCTCTCTCCCTTTTTACCTTCGGGCGGGTGGGGGGTGGGGGGCTGCTTCCTTACTAGATGTGGCCGACTAGGAGGCAATGGGAAACCATTGCGCCAGAACCAGAAGTTTTGCGACACAGAATTTTAGGCACAGACGGATATGGTGAAAAAGGAAGCTGCGTTTTGTCTGTGAAGATGCCTTGGGGTGAAAAGCCTGGTCTAGGCCAGGACCACCTGAACCCCGGGCCTTGGCTTTGTGCGAGGCGGGAGGACAGAAGCAGAGGCGCCCTGGCCTTGTCTCTGGCCCTGTCCCTGGCCTCTTCTCACCTAGTGGGCACCAAGGGGGCCGGAAAGGGGCTCACTCCCTGCAGATACCAACGCAGGTAGCTTTCCCTTCCTAGAGGCAGCGTGAGATGTAGGTCCGCGGCTCAGCAGGTGGAGGAGAACAGGAGTCTCTTAGGAAAACAAGGGTCAAACCCTCTCTTCCTTCTCCAGCAACACAGTGTCAAAAGATTTCAGCAACGTTTGGTTGCAAGCCTCTACCTGGCAGCTCTCAGTGGGGGATGGGAACAGTCAACAGCGAGAGGGAAGGAAGGCAAACAACTCCACTCAGTCTGCAAACAGAGGGGCCTGGAAACGCGGGGAACAGGGGGTTAAGCCTCGTTACCTTTGGAACCCAGTGGAGAGGAGCACCTGGATGCGGTGCCCAACCCTAGGAATATCTTCTCGAGCTGATAGCGAATCACGCTCTCTTCCGAACAGATAGCACCTCATAGCTGACTGGGTGTGCGCTTCCAGTTTGCTTTCGGATACACCTCCTGGCAGCATGTTGCCCTCCCCTCTTTAAAGCGGTGGTTCTCAAACTCACCTGACGTCTGGGCCCCCACCCCTCCTGCTTCTGGTTTGTTGCTTTGGCGTGGCCGGGAAATTTGCATGTCTAAGGGTTCCCAGGTGATCCCACTGCTGCTGGTCCAGGGACCAGGCTTCGAGAGAAAAAACTGCCTTAAAGGCTGCAAGCTTTGGCCAGAAACAACAATTTAGTAAGAATTAATCTACAAGAAAATTTTTTCTGTTTTATAAGTACTTACCACAATCAGGCATACCTCGGAGATATTGCAGGTTCCTTTCCACACCACAGCAATAAAGCAAGTTTCCCAATAAAACCAGCTGTAATCTTTTTGCTGGTGGCAGGTCTTGCGTTCAATTTGTAAAAAGCACGTGTGTGAAGCACAATAAAGCCACGTGCAATGAAACGAGGTGTGCCTGTACTTAAAACAAGGTTCCCTACCTCAGCCGGGCACTTAGAATCACCTGGGGGGCTTTAAACACTCCTGCCAACCAAACCAATTTAATCAGACTCTCCATGGATTAGACCCAGACGTATTTTTTAACACTTCCCAGGTGATTACAAAGTGCAGCCAAGGTTTGGAGCACAAGGTTTGGAGGTCATTCTTGGAGAACTTCAGCCCGTAGGTTGTTCAGACAGGTAAAGGTGTGTTTGTAACCTGGTAACCCACAATCATGTGTCAACATTGGTCTTCACACTTCTTATATCTACAACATTTATTTTCATGTCAGCACCCAAAGTCTGGCCAAAGGATCGGGCTATAAATAGTACAAGGAGATGCAGAACATGGTATCAACAGCATGCAGAGCGACCTGCACTGGGTGGACAAGATCCCCTCTCCCGCCCCAGAGATTCTGACTCAGTAGGTCTGTGGTGGACCCTGGGCCTGCACAGGTGGTCCTTGAACTAGACTTAGTGAAATACCAGTAATGGAAAAATCATGGGTTTGAACTGGGCGGGGTTGGTGGTGGTGGTGTGTGTGTGTGTGGGGGGCGGGGGCGGGGTTGGAGTTGGGTAATCTCATTGCTGGTGACCTTGCGCAAGTTACCTAATGCTCAACCTTTGTTTACTCATGTTTATAAGTAATGTTAATAACACCTACCTTACCTACTTTGTAAGGTTGTTGAAGAATTAAAGAGAATATATACAAATAATTAGTGCCACGTATGGCGCATGCCATGCACCAAACACATTTTATAAATGTTATGAGAAAGAGGGTCTGGTGAACAGGTTGCTGTGCATTCAGATGCTTCCAGTTCTCTTTCAACATTAAAATACAAAACTCAGAAATCCCAGCGGCTGGACAACAGCCTCCGCGTCAGGAAGACACCATCACCTGATTTAAGTCTCTGTGTCTTTATGAAGGTCTCAGTGTCTTATGAATCATGGTGGAAGACACTGTCCACACTGTCACACTTGGGTAAAAGGACTTCATGATGAATTTCTTCTTGGGTTTAGTTCTAAGGAAAAAAGTTCTCTAAATATCAGTCTTCTTTTTTTCATTTACAGCTACTGGTTTAGAGGCAAAGTTGTTCTGCTGGGGTGACCAGTTGTCCCGGTTTGCTGGGGACTGAGGGGAGAGTCTGGGGTCCCTGGGCTGTGGGACTTTTGGTACTAACCCAGGGGCAGTCCCAGGCAAACTAGGTTAACTTGGTCAGTTCACATCATGCAGTAACTTACTCTGCTTTAGCAACTGAAACAGAATTTATTGCTTCAATAAAACTGTCACAGTTCTGCTTCGTTCCCTGATGTGCCGCATCTGAGTGCTTCTGGAAGTGAGCAGACACACATTTCAAATGCAGTCTGCCTCCTAGGGAGACCTGGGGGCGGCACAGGGCTGCTTCTGCAGGACCCCGCGGGGCGGGGAGAACGGACACACCCTCTGGGAAGACTGAACCCTTGACCTGGGTAAGAAAGCCCCAGACGGTTTACTGCTCTTCTCAGCGACAAAACTGAGAGAAGAAGGCTGGGCCAGGGGGCAGCGTGCACAGCTGTGGGCAGAACAGGAGCTTCATGGCTAACTCTCCCAAAATCGCTCTCATTTTTAAGTGTTTTACTTCTTTTCTGGCATTTTACTTTATTCAGAAGTTTTTAATTTTCATAACGTCAAGTCTGCCTGTCTTTTTCTATATGTTTTCTGAAGTTGTTGTCTTGCTTAGAAAACCATTCTCCCATCAAGATTATAAGAATGTTCTGCTATTTTTTCTGGGGAAGCAGGCATAGCCAATAGGTAGTGAGTGTTGCTATGTTCCAATAAAACATTTTAATGGACATTACAATTGGAATTTAATATCATTTTCATGTCACAAACTATTATCCTTGTTTTGATAAAACCATGTTTGGCTGGCAGACTATACAAAAGCAGGCCATGGACTGGACGTGGGCCATGTTTGCCAACCTATAAACTATAGCAGTGATGGCGAACCTATGACACGCGAACTCATTTTTTTGGTTGATTTTTCTTTGTTAAATGGCATTTAAATATATAAAATAAATATCAAAAATATAAGTCTTTGTTTTACTATGGTTGCAAATATCAAAAAATTTCTATATGTGACACGGCACCAGAGTTAAGTTAGGGTTTTTCAAAATGCTGACACGCCAAGCTCAAAAGGTTCGCCATCACTGAACTATAGGATCAGGTTGTCAGCCTCCCACTCCTATAAATAGCCAAAACCAGGAAAATAAAATCAACTTGTATGTTATTAATGCCTAGACTCAAAACATCAAACTGTAAGGACTCAACACAACTCAAAATGACTCAGTCTATAACTTGAGGATGTAGTATATTATTTCAGCTTAGACTAAAATCATCAATTTTTTTATTTGAACTTGGACTTCAAGCTTCATTCCTAAATAGAATTTCTGCAGCTATCATAAATATTAAACACAATGAAAATAACCTTCATCAGTAGCAGGCCAGTTAGGAAGTGACTATAATTGGTGTTTCATTATCTTTCAAACCGGAAGCTCAGAGTTTTATATTCCGTTAAGTTCTCAGGTGCAAAAAAAGCAGAAGGATCCCAGGAAACCGCATTGAGTCTGCTGCAAAAGCCCTTTATCAACAAAATTATTAAAAAGCGAATTTTACCATCAAATTTAGACATTTGTTTTTTTTCATTCAATTTTTTCCTGATTTCTTTAAGGCTGGTATATATAGGACATTTGTAAAAGAACAATCCAAAGGAAAAATAAAATTACTGTAATCTCACCTCCAAGATGAAGTGCATATTTGATGTCATCTCCAAGATTAAATACACAATGTGATTATTTTTTCATAAGTGTAATTTGATTACTAATATTATTTAATACACTTCACGCATTCCCCCAGTCCCAGAGCTACACACACACACACACACACACACACACACACACACACTCACAGTTGTCAATGGTAAATTATCTTTCTCAAAACCTTTGAAAAGTAACGCAGGAATTACGGGTGCGCTGGCGGACTCCATCAACATGTACAGCACCTCTCCATTATAAATAAGAAACACTGTAAAAATAAAATATTTTTAAAAAGTACACACTCAAACCAGAATGAAATAAAGGCAACCTCTCAAGTTCCAGAAATACAGAGAAAACACAAAGGCAAAGTGGTGAGCTGGCTGCTGCTGTGGCCCTTGGGTTTTCAGTCTGGAACATATGTAGACCCAGGGGCTGAGGGATCGGTGTTAATGCTCAGGCAAAGAGAGGAAAAGGAACTTTTCCCTTTTCCCAAGAAGTTGGAACTGGACAGTTTGCATAAAGCTTAGAGCCTGGTGGGCTGCCCAGTCTGTTTTAAAAAGATTAGAAAACCTCTATCCATATTCCAAGGAAGTAGCAAGGATGCTTTCCATTCACCCAGGGCTAGGGCTTGAAGGACAAATAACACTAAAAATCCGCTACTCCAAGCATATTCTATGCCCAGGCGAGGAATCCAGAAATTAACGTGAGGTATCTTGAGACTCCTACAGCCACGGCAAAAGCAGTCGAGGAACTACTCTGTAGTGTACGATGCAGGGCACAGGAATTTTTTAGAAAAACAGCCCCTCTGAAGAGACACAACATGTGAAAAAATGATCCACCATGAGTGAGAGTTAGTAGACATTTTAAAATCAAAGACTTAGGCCCTGGCTGGTGTGGCTCAGTTGGTTGGAGCATCATCCTATGCACCAAAAGGTTGGGGGTTTGATCCCCAGTCAGGGCACTTTTGGGAGGCAGTTGATTGATGTTTCTCTCAAGTATCTATGTTTCTCTCTCTCTCTTCCTCTCTCTCTCGCTCTCTCTCTTTCTCTCCTTATCCCCTCTCTTCCTCTCTCTAAAATCAATAAAAAACTTATCATTGGGTGAGGATAAATAAATACATAAAATAACATAATAGATATAAATAATATAAACAAGAATATTTGAAATTATTAAAGAAATAAAAAAGAATAGAAGACATAATAAAAAGAACCCAACAGAGCCCATCGTTGTGGTTCAGTGGTTGGTCATTGGCCCATGAACCAGGAGGTTATGGTTCAATTTCAAGGCAGGGCACATGTCCGAGTTGTGGCTCGATCCCCAGCGGGGGGTGTGCAGTAGGCAGCCAATTGATGTTTCGCTCTCATTGATGTTTCTATCTCTCTCACTCCCTTCCTCTCTCTAAAATCAATAAAAATATATTGAAAAAAAAAGAAAAAAAAGAACTCAATGAAAATGAATACACAGATTTAAAAGAAGAATTCTAAGAAATGAAACTTATAGTCATTGAAAAAAAACTCAGTGGATGAGTTAAACAGCAGGTTAGAGAGAATTAGGAAAATGGTAAATAGACTTGATGAAGTTAATAAAAAATCAGTACAGAGAGAAACATATATAAAATATAAAAGAGAGGTTAAAGATGTGTAAAGTATAGGATTAAAAAGATTCACCGTTCAGTAATAAGAGGCCCAGAAGGAGAAACTAGAGAGAATGAGGAAAACAAAATACAGTAAACCCTCAGTTTTGCAGACCTTGATTTAATGGACTTCAGACTTAACAAGCAAAATTTCTCATCCGTATGTCATATGTGAAAATTAATTTAAAAATGCCTTTAACCAAGATTTGCTCATAATTAAATTAACAGGTGTTTTTTTTGTTATTAATCAAATTTTAGCAAATAGGCCATATGTTGGAAAAAACTCTGTAGTAATTTTGCCGACATAAATGAATATTACATGTCTACAACTATAGTCTACATATTTAAATCCAAGAGTCACCGCTTGTGAACAATGTTTGTGGAATGATTAGCATGTGCTCACACTGCCTCTCTTGGAGTAATTGGTTCCATTGTCACGTGGTGGACTTTCTGCAGCGGTTCTAACTTATGCCAGGGACATTCCGAAATAGGCCCAGCCCTGATGTTCCACCATGAGCTAAGCCAGGCCCCAGCCCTCTACATTTGTTTGCTTGTGGTGACTGGTGAATGCATCCATTTACTAGACCTGTTCAGTATAAATTTAAAACCACAGTAACACATATAACATACTTTGCTGTGAAATTAAACTTTTCAGACATACTTAATAGTAATTACACAAATGTGTCTACGTAAGTAAAAACATGTAAACTAATTTGTCAATTTTTTAACATATGCATGTGGGAGAAATGATATTATATATTAATATATAATGGACTTTTGGCTTTAATGGACACCCCCCTCTCCTGAATTAGTCTGTTACAGCGAGGCTTTCCTGTATTCAGACAATGGCTGTGGAGTCTCCAGAGGTCAAAGAAACCCGAATCTTCAGATTGTTCAGAGCAGGATAAGCACATACACTTCACATCTAGGTACATTGTAGTGAAACTGTGAGGATGTGGAGAAATTGGAACCCTTGTGCATTGCAGATGGGAATGTAAATGATGCAGCTACTGAAGAAAACAGGTTGCCTCCATTGAATAAAAACGTCATTTCCATTGCCCACCTTTGCAACGAGGTGTTGTCATTTGATTAAGATCTGGCCAAAGGGAGAAAGAGGAAGTGATGTGTGTAACATTCTGGAGTGTGTTTGTTCAAGAGGGAGGCTGTGATCCTTCTACTTCTTCCATGTGCTGCTTACAATAGGAAGGTGTTGGCTGAAGCTCCGTCTTGGACCATGAGAGCCAGGGCTTCATTCTAGGGCTGGTAGAGCAGAAAGCTAGAAGCAGCCTGGGATCCAGAAAAGTGCAGATGTACTATACCAGCCTTATGATCCATAATTCTGGCGTTTTATGAGATATCCTATATTGTGTAAGCATCTGAATAGTCCAGTATGTCGGAGAGATAATAGATACATGGAGAAAATTATAACACTCTATTGAAGGACATAAAGGAGGACTAAGTAAATGGAAAGCTATACTATGCCCATGTTTGGGAAGGCAGAATATTCTACGAAAGTCAGTTGTTTCCAAATTAATCTATAAATTCAATGTATGTTCAAGCAAAATTCTGACAATCTCTTATAGAATGTACTAATTCATATGCAAGAGCGAAGGGCCAAGAATAATCAAGACAATTTTGGGCTTTAAAGCATAGACTTAGTATTTAAAAAGTAAAACAGGAAAATGGGGGGGCAAAGGGGCTTCAACTATACTTGCAACATTAATTAAGCAGAAAATATATTTATGGAAAGTTTGGTAATGTTAACCTTTATTATGTTCATGTAGTGGGTTCATGGGTGTTTTTTTCTCTGACTTTTCTTCAGTTTTGAAATTTCATAATAAAAATGAAAATAAAGAAAATAGAAATGCCAGGTACCTCACTCCGAGGATTAATTCTTAGCTTATTTCCTCAGTCTTATGCTATATCTTGTCCTAAAAAGAGGCAAAGGAATGTGGAGGAAGAACAAGAGCTTTGGAGAAAAACCAGAAATCTGGATTTACATGCTACTTCCCCCACTTACTCCATGACTTAAGCAAGTCACGTAAGCTCTCCGCCCCATTTCCTGAACCAGATAATAGATAAAAATACTCACTGGAGATGACTGCCCTGAGGTCACCTCAGGTCAAGGTTAACTTTATGATGCCTGACCACCATTGAGACAACTGACAAAGAATCCTGGTACGTATTGGCAAGATCATAAAATAACTCAAAAGCTATGTAGGAGAAACCAAGAAATTAAAAGTTTTTCAGATAATCTCTGCTTAGTTCTATGATAGAAGTGCCTAAATAGGGTGTTTTCTTTGTCCTTTGGGCAATAATGGTTTGCCTATATTTATAGAATTTTGCAAAGTTCCATTCTAGTTATTCTGGGGAAAACTTTGCGGAACCGTTACAATTCTGGTTCCTGACTGTGTGATCAGATCGTGTTTTCCTTTTTCTGTGCAAGGAGTGTGGCCGTACAGTGGATAGGGGAGTAAGAAATCTTGAGTTTCAGTTCGGTTTTGCCAGGGACCTTATCTTCAAGGTCATGCACTTAAAAAACATTAGAAATTCTTTGAGATTAGGAGAGAAATGCCAAACTGGCCTGAGGGTTAGTACTCTTTTAGGACATCATTATCATTGTTACCATCACCACCACCTAATTTGGATGTGAATATCTGCTGAGGAACAATGACTTTCAAAGGAAAAACTGATCGCGCTTTTAAGATATTTTTTATTTCACGAATGTTTCCAAATGCTTAATTTCTAAATATTCCTTCCCGCTTCTTCCTCTTCTTTCTCTGTTAGGAAAGGCACCAATGCCCAGACCTCACTACAAGCCGCAGGAGCCCAATGGCTGCAGCTCCTACTTCCTGGGTCTCAAGGTACCAGAAAGTGTATGTACCACCACCATCGTTTTCTCCGCTGACCGGTTTTAACTGAGACACATTCAAGAGTTATTGCTGATGGAAGTGACCGAATATAGAATATAGTTGGGCAATGTGATTGAGCAGTTTAAATTGGAGACGGAGGAAAGGAGATAATTTTTAAAAGAAGAATTTGACTTTCTTTTGTCAGAGGCAGCTGTCCCTCAGATAAGCCCTTGTAAAGTGAACTTGGAAATCACCATGGCACACATCAGCTGAGCTTTAGGGGATCAAACAGAACTAAATAGGAAATAGATCTGAGAGGTTTGACGTGTGGAGCCAGCTGGGACTGACCAGTGAGAGCTGACTGCTACGGTATTGTCAGGACTTCTCATGCCAAATCAGCTGTGTTTGGAGTATTAACATCATAGAACTCTGCAAACGCACCCTCATACCCCCACCCCCAAGAAAAACCCCCATACACACCTCCAGTCACTGGCTAAACATTCATCATCACAATGTAGACCATTTCTCAAACTGTAGGTCTCCCCTGAAATTAAGTTATAATTTCTTTTAAGACTTCTTTGGACAAGAGGCCCTATGTAAAATGTAGGTACAGGGATTTCATATCTGAACTGTGATTTTTGACTTGTATCTTAACCAGGCTCAACTTCACTTTTCTGATGATTCAAAAGATTTTACTTTGTAATAATTTTCTAAGTGGCATAATGTTTATTCTAAGATCCTGCTCACCCATGGGGCATTTTTATACAAATTGGAAAGAGGTCCTCTTTCCTCAAGACAGTTTTCTTCCATTTGTCAGAAATTTATCTTAATACTAGAGGCCCGGTGCACAAAATTGAGCACTGGTAGGGTCCCTAGGCCTGGCCAGAGATCAGGGCCAATCAGGGCCTTCCGGCTGCCACCCGCTGGTGGTCAGCACACGTCATAGCGAGCGATCGAACTCCCGGTCGAACTCCTGAGGGGACACTTTGTATATTAGCCTTTTATATATATAGATACTGATTTTGTTAGAAAAGGAAACTTGACTGTGATTGGCTAGACATTTCATAATAAATATGATGTCTTGTGGGAAGATATGACCTTCTTAGATCTGACCCTCTTGTGCTTTGAACAACCTGCACAGCTAAACACCCATCCTTGTCCACAATAAGCAGAATGTGTATGGATGCAGAAGACAATCATTTCAAATAATAAAAGGTGGAGCAAAAGTAGGTTTACAGTTGTTTGTATGGAAAGTAATACAACAGTTCACAAATAATAACACAAGAATAAACTTTGTGTTTTGTGTGCCTACTTTTGCCCTACTCTGCATTTACATACAGAAACCACCTATTTCCAGCCAATATATTTTACTTGATATCAATTTAGTAGCTATGGAAGTGGTATGCACCATATTTTGGAAGTAATGTCATTTTGTTTGCTGAAACAAATATCATCAAAAACTAGTTCAAGAATTTCCAATTGAATTGTATTGAATTGAATGGTAGCCACTGTACTCATCTAATTCTCAGTTACCTCTGTTGTGATATGTTTGCAGTTTTAGAGGTGAGGTATAAGCAAAGTAGTTTACTTCAGGCATCAGATAATGGAATTTACCCAGAATTGCAGAGTCCAGGCCTTTGCTAGTCTAATAATGAGTTACATAACCTCTTAATGTTGCTTAAAAGGACATTGTAAACTGCCAAACTCCATATTCTGCTTTAAGTGGCCTTGGAATAAAAGTTTAAATGAGAGAACACTTACGGAGACCTAAGGGGAAAGGACCTATAGTCACTGACTGTAATTCCCCAACCATGCCTGAAACCAGATTCTCACAGAGTCTATCCAAGTCCAAGTATATATAATCAGAAAAACTGCAAGATTCTAAGATGCTCTATCTACATCTAGACCCACCCTCTTCCCGTCTATTTTTTCTATTGATTGATGTGTAAGAAAGAGAGAGAGAGAGAGAGAGAGAGAGAGAGAAACATCAATTTGTTGTTCCACTTATTTATGCATTCATTCACTGGTTATTTCTTGTATACACCCTGACGGGGGATCAAACCTGCAACCCTGGTGTATCAGGATGATGCTCTAACCAACTGAACTACCTGGCCAGGGCCAGGTAGTAAAGCAATTACTCTTCTTTGATCACTTTTTGTATCATGTCCCTTCCTTGCTCAAGAGTGTTTATCAAATCTAACTAGTTACTTTGGAAGTCAAGGTCATCCATCAACTTACTCTTCTCTCTAAGGAAAACTTTTTTAAAAAATATATATTTTTTATTGATTTCAGAAAGGCAGGAAGAGGGAGAGAGAGATAGAAACATCAATGATGAGAGAGAATAATTAATTGGCTGCCTCTTGTACACTCCCTCCGTACCCCCCACTAGGGATCCTGTCTGCAAAACAGGCATGTGCCCTTGACTGGAATTGAACCCGGGACCCTTCAGTCCGCAGGTCGATGCTCTATCCACTGAGCCAAACCAGCTAGGGCTCTAAGGAAAAATTTTACATGTATGTATTCCCCTGGAGAGACTCTTGAAAGACTAAACAAATTCACTCGCAATATGATTTGCTCATTATTTCCTTTCGTTACCTGCTATGTTCTAAGGCTATCCTTATTTCTGTTAACCCTCTCTTCATCTTCTTTCAAAATTCTCTAAAAAATTCCCGTTTTATTACTTTACAGATGGCATTCTATGAATTTACTCAGCTTATGCCACAACATTCACAATGGCTTATAGGACACTTAATAAACGCATGTCCGGGTGTGCATTAGATATTGCCGTTTGACCAGAGTGCCTCTGTGTCCTATACCTGACTCTGCTCCCCAACATGTACAGACACACACCCCATTAACACAGAGCTGTATGGGATGGATCTCTGATAAATGCAGGTGCCCGAATGATGAACTAAGACTTTAGTTTTCCTAATTCTGAGCCTTGGGATCCTTTGCTTAGACAAAATCTCATGTAAGTTTTAGTTGAATTTGGATGTTTTGAAACTCTGCTTTCTGGACTGGCATTCTGATTTCTATTTTCATCACCATAGTGACCTGTGAATTAACAAGTACATTGTGATTGAAATTTAGCATCCTGACTATCAACCCGCTGTATTCTCTCAAGTCACTGGTGTTTCTCAGTTGATCCGAAAGTGTAGCAGGAATTTGAGAACTGGCTCGCCAAGTACATGGGCAAGGTTGCCTGAGGTCCTCGGTCTAAACGTGGCATTTTCTTCCCTCTCTTTCCCCAGATGGACTTGGGCATCCCAGCAATGACCAAGTGCTGCAACCAGCTGGATGCCTGTTATGACACCTGCGGTGCCAACAAGTATCGCTGTGATGCAAAATTCCGATGGTGCCTCCACTCTATCTGCTCTGACCTTAAGCGAAGTCTGGGCTTCGTCTCCAACGTGGCAAGTAGGTATCTTAAGGGCATCTGCCTCTGAGCAGGATGTTTGTTCCTGTTTTCACACAGACATGCAGCCAGAGCCCCTTTACTCACAGAGGCCATTAAAGCTCCCCGAACGTTATGGAACACCGAGCAATGCACAGGCCGAGGGGAGGGTGCCGGCCCTCGTTGGCTGAAGTTCCTGCTGTCCTGCCCAGGAGCTGCTGGCGCCACTCCCCATGGACAGCGCCACACCAACGCCTTCCCAGAGATATAAAAATGTGTCCTTTAAGGCTGGAGAAAGAGTTGCCCAGTTGGCTGTAGTTACCCATTCCACTGTTAAATCATTTGCCATATAAAGAGTTATTTTGTATGGGACCACTTGGTTTGGCTATTACCTTATTTTGTTCTCAGTCAGGGAAATAATAAAAAAAACTTTTTGTGTGAAGTTCTACATATACTTTAGGATAGTTATTTTATTTTATTTTTTAAAAATATATTTTATTGATTTTTTTACAGAGAGGAAGGGAGAGGAATAGAGAGTTAGAAACATCGATCAGCTGCCTCCTGCACACCCCCTACTAGGGATGTGCCTGCAACCAAGGTACATGCCCTTGACCAGAATCGAACCTGGGACCCTTGAGTCTGCAGGCTGACGCTCTATCCACTGAGCCAAACCGGTTAGGGCTAGGATAGTTATTTTTAAAAAAGTATATTTTTATTGATTTCAGAGAGGAAGGGAGAGGGAGAGAGATAGAAACAATGATGAGAGAAATATTGATCCACTGCCTCCTGCACGCCCCTTCCCCATTGGGGATGGTGCCCACAACCCAGGCATGTACCCTGACCTGGAATCAACCGTGACCTCCTGGTTCATACATAGGTCAAGGCTCAACCACTGAGCCACACGGGCTGGGAGAGGATAGGGTTTTTTTTGTTTTATTTTGTTTTAACAGCTATTTAGCTATCTAATTTCTAGCATTGATTCTGTAATTTCCTTTTCTTAATTCACTTTAGGAAAAGTTTTAATCCCTTAGTTTCTGAAGCCAGAAAATCACATCCAGGTATTAGCATTACATATTTTTAGATAGTGATGTTTGAAAGTCAGGCATATATAGAGCTGACTATATGCCACAGGGATGGGAAAAACTTGGATCTTGTTCAAAGGTCCATGTCTAGGGCGTAGTCCTAAAGGGAATCTGTGAGGGCTTGAAAAGATGGGTAATTGCTTGGGCCCTGCAAAAGGGAGCATCCCCTTATCTGTACCTACAAAGGGTGAGAAAGTTCCTGCTGCGAATCTAGGGTCAGGTCAGGTTACTTCCTTCAAGCAATGTCCTGTTGATTCTTTCCCCCAAATATCTCTTTGGTAACTTGCCTGGTTACTGCCAATTAACTCAATCTCTGGGTCCCATCAAATTTATTCTCCCCAAAGGGACCAGATATATTTTTATACCACAAAAATCTGGTCACCTTCCTTTTCATTAAGAGTAAACCCAAGCTCCTTCGTATGACATACATATGTTCACTGCTAGCTACCTCTTCAGCATCAACTTGCTTATTCTTGATTTCTCTCCTGACTCCTACCATTCCCAACCACTTGGGTTGATGGTCCATATCTTTCTGTGTCTGCAGTTCCCTCTGCTTGGAACACTCTTATAATTCATGTTTTATTGTTGTTCAAACAGTTTTATCAATGGTGAAGAGCTGAAAGCTTTTCCTCTAAAATTATGAACAAGTCACAGATACCCATTCTCACCACTTGTATCCAATATAGTATTGGGAGTCCTAGCCAGAAAAATTAGGTCAGAAGAAGAAATAAAAGCCATCCAAATAGGAATGAAAGACCTAAAACTGTCACCATTTCATGTGGCATTATATATAGAAAACCCTAAAAACTTTTCCAAAAAACTGTTAGAACTAATAAATAATTCAGTAACGTCGCAGGATACAAAATTAACATACAAAAATCTGTTGCATTTCTATATACTAATAACAAACTATCAGAAATATATTTTTTAAAAAATCCCATTTATAATTGCATCAAAATAATAAAATACCTAGGAATAGATTTAATCAAGGAGGTGAAAACTACAAGACTTTGATGAAAAAAATTGAAGAAGACACAAATAAATGGAAAGATAGTTCATGCTCATGGACTGGAAGAATTAATGAATTGTTAAAAATGTCCATGGCCCTGGTTGGGTAGTTCAGTTGGTTAGAGTGTCATCCCTATACACCAAGGTTGCTGTTTGATCCCTGGTCAGGGCATATACAAGAAGCAATGAATGAATGCATTGATGGAAATGGAGCAACAGATCAATGTCTCTCTCTCTCTCTCTCTCTCCCTCTCTCTCTCTCTCTCTGAAATCAATAAACTTTTTTGTCGTTATTAATTATCATCGGAGGATATTTTTCCATTGATTTTTTTAGAGAGTATGTAAGGAAGGAGGGGAAACACAGAGAGAGGAACATCAATGTGAGAGAGACACATTGATTGGTTGCTTCCTAGTCAGGCCAGGAATTGAGCCTTGCCCTTAACCTGAATCAAACCTGAGACCCTTCAGTCCATTGGTTGACACTCTATTCACTGAGCCAAACCAGCTAGGGCTCAATAAACCTTTAAAAATGTCCATACTACCCAAAGGAATCTATAGATTTAATGCAGTCCCTATCAAACTTCCAAGGGCTCTGAGAACCCTTCCATAACAATCCTTACTCACAAACGGATAGAGACCCTTACTGTGGGCTCCCATACCACAGTGGGGTAACTTCCATTATGGTGTAGTGTAACTATATGTTTACCTGTCTAGCCTATCCTCCTCTCTGTCCAAACTGTGAGATCCTTGAGTTGAGATCCCTTTGGTCTCTGTGTCCCTGATGCCTTACAGTGGCTGGCCAACATATCCAACAGGCACACTTGATTTTTCAATGAGTAAAAGGTTATTCATCCCACACTCGAACAGGGAAAGCGACAGGAAACACAGTAGTGTTATCTGAGCAAGTATTCTGCAAAAATTGTAAATTTGCCATGGAGTGAGCATAGTGGTATGGAAGATGCTGATTGCTAATCATGGTTTTGACCTGGAGACCCATAAAAAGAGGGCACCCCAAAATGTATTATTATTTTATTGATTGATTTTTAGAGAGATAGAGAAACATCAATTTGTTGTTCCACTTATTTATGCATTCATTGGTTGATTCTTGTATGTGCCCTGACCAGGAATCGAATCCACAACCCTGGCCTATTGGGACGGTATATTAGGACGATGCTCTAACCAACTGAGCTACTTGGCCAGTGCCCAAAATGTATTCTGCTTTATTAGATTGGATAGAAGCTGTTCTGAAAAAAACTCCTTTTAAATGTATGCTTTCCCTTTGAATTCTGTATTCAGATTATTGTCTCTACTTTCCTCTGGGTATCATGTCAATCTTGGAGCTACACTGACTCTTTAAAATTACCCATACTACTTGGAGGCAGTTCTATGTACCAGTATTAACCTCTCTGTTTCTCTACATCTTTTTCAAGTAGCATGTGATTCCCTGGCTGATACCGTGTTTAATACTGTATGGACTTTGGGCTGCCGACCCTTTATGAATAGTCAACGGGCAGCCTGCATCTGCGCAGAAGAGGAGAAAGAAGAGTTATAGGGAAGAGGTGTCTCCTTTTTGGTTTTGCGTTGACACCACGGCTGTCAGTCTCGGAGATGGTAGTGTGGCAGATGTGTCTCATCCTTTCTTCCAAGGATTTGGATACCACCAAGCAGGAGAAAGGAAATAGTCTACAGCCAAAAAGTGAGTCCCATCCTTTGAGGATAATTGGAAAAAAGACGTGGAGTGAACTGAAGGCGACTCGTCACTTTAACACTGGTCTCTCCAACCAAGACACATTTGCCTGGAAATTCAGTTCTTAACTTAAAGACTAAAATAAAGACTAACTACTGGGATTCTTGGACTTGATAATTCTATTCACAAGTGAAATTTTGGAGAGTCCAGCCATTTGGGAGGCAATGACTTTCCAGCCATTTGGGAGGCAAGGACCAATAATCTGGTCCATGTTTCAGTTGCCAGTAAGGATCTCACATATAATAAAGTGTACTTTTTAGAAAATTTGAAAAGAGATGAATGAATCTCATTATCACCAACACGCTTCCTTTTCACTTAGAAGAAAACAGAACCAACCTGGTAAGTTCCGCCGATGATACGTTATTCCCGCTGGTGCTGAAGAGATTGGAAGCGGTGGGCAGAGGCTTACCTGACCAAAGCCACGGAGGTGGAGGTCAGGTGGAGTTGGGTCTGAGGTTCCATTTTTTTCATTCAATCAACTATTCCTGTTGATACCCCCAAGTACTAGGTGGTCTCCGTGTCGTGTGAAGATCTGAGGAGCACTGGGTAAAAACTGCCACTAAAGATCACTTAGAAAAGCCCCTAAAATCTGAGGGGCATGAGAGACAAATGGCCATTCCCAGAGCGTGGTTCTCAGCCCTGATGGCAAATTAGAATCACCGGAGGAGCACTAGCAACAGAGTCTCTAGGGGTGGTATCTACAGACAGGCATACCTTTCATTGCGCTTGGCTTTCTTGCCCTTCACAGGTGTTGCGTTTTCTAGAAATTGAAGGCAAGACCTTCTACCAGGAAAAAGATTATGACTCGCTTTGTTGTGAGACTCAGTTTATTGTCGTGGTCTGGGAGCAGACTGGAAATATCTCTGAGGTTTGCCTCTGCTGGCAATTTATAAAGTGACTCTGATGCCCCGTGAGGCCTGAGGGCCACCAAGGTCAGGGGCTGGCAAATGAAAGCCCATGGACTGAATCAGGCCCAGCACCTGCTGCTGGGAAGTGTTACTGGAACATAACCATGCCCACGTGTGTTCATGGCTGCTCCCGGGCTGCCAGAGCAGAGTTGTGGCAGAGACGGCATGGCCCAGAAAGCCTAAAACAGTTACCATGAGGCCCTTACAGAAAAATTCGGCAAACCCCTGATGGAGTTCACTTTCTCCTTTCCTTTCCTTTTGTTAATTTCACTGGTTCCATTAAGAATTGTTGATTGCAGCCATTTCTAAAAAGAAAAAGAAGAAAAGTTGTTTTCTGATCTTATGTAAACCCATGAAATTAACTGGCTTAGTAAGAAACTGGATTTAACAGCAGATAAAATTTATCTCTGTGGTTTATTTCAATAAAATTAATTAAGAACCTACAAAATAGAGTATGGTATAATTTTATACCTTTTTCGATTCACTTATCAGTCTGAGGGCACAGAATGCCAAATAACAGGACATATGACACCACATTTTAATTTTATCTAAAGTTCAGTCATTGAACCACTTAAATGCATGTTATAATAAATTTAATAACATTTATTAATTGAAGATATTTCTTAAGACAACATAAAAAATGTCAAAAGAAAATATTGTGCAAGAGAAAAACCAAATAGTATTTTTTAGTACACACTTATATTGATAAACTTCTGAATCCCCGGTAACTATTCTGTATTTGACTTGAAATTTCAGGGTATAAAATTATTTACATATCTAAGGAATCATTGGGTATTTAAGTCATAGTTTCAAGCAACTATTTAATTTTTTAAAGTTCTTAAATTTGAAATATCATACCCAACTTCTGATTTTACTGCATCCTATAAAAGGTGATTTATTGTAGAAAAGAAATGGGGGAAAAGGGTGAGCTGCCTTCTGTGTGGACAGCATAGCTTTTGACCTTGGGAGGATGAAGCCCTAACAGGGTCAGGTCGGCCCGCAGTGAGCTGACCTCTCCCGACCTTTGGGCCAGATCAGAGGGCGTCAGTCCTGCGAGTCTGTCTAACCCACAGCGTGATGTTTAAAGAAGGGCAGTGATCTAGCGTGTTGACTGATGTCCTCAGAGGTCATGGGGAGAAGTTCCAAACAGGCGGGCAGCCGGAAGCCAGGCCTGGGCGTTCCGTCCTAGTCCTCCCAGTCGATGCTGATTGGGCCGCCCGTCAGCATCTGGCTCTGCAGACCAGCTGCGTCCTCCCCTCCTGCCTCTCGCCGCATTCTCCTGTGGCAGCCCTGGGCACAGCGGGAGCGCTCCTCCAGCCTGCCACAGACCAGGACCCGGCAGTGCAGGAACACTTCCTGGAAAGGCCATGTCGTAATGAACAAAAACAATGATAACAGCGATCGCTTGGGGGGCACTTTCTAGAAGCCAGACACTATACCAAATAGTTCATATATGTCATCTCATTTCATCTAAACAACAACCCTTTGAGGTAGATGTTATCATGACCATTTTACAGATGAGGAAACTGAGAGAGAGGTTAGGGAGTTCGCCCAAATTCACACACTTAGTAATGCGGCAAACACACAGAGTCCTGTGGGAGATTGAAAACACCACATGCATAGTTTATGCACTTGTGGAGGGCCCGGAGAGACCTTTGTGAAGGCAACACCTAATAACGGCAACCTCTTCATTCCTCACGTCAGAGTGAGGAATGACATCAGCCCCCATGCACTTCTGTGTAAGGTTGGTCCTTTCTCCGAGCTGCTTCCGGCAGGTGACTTTCCAAGCATGCTGCCTAGCTGAGGAGGGAGGTCAGGATCAGCCACCCTAGTGGGCCCTCCTGGGGCGGTGAGGTCGCCGGGAAGCACATCAATGCACTTACATGCAGCGTGGGAAAGATCACTGGTCTCTGAAACTTCTTTTTGTTGAAATGTTTCAACAACTCTATTCAAACAAAAATCTTCCTCCTTACCCTATGATAGATAGCTGCTTATAACCTCTATAGCTATGTATGCACATTTAAAAAATGTAGCATTTTCAACACGCATGCAAATTGTTATGACAAGTCTTTTCATGTCTCCCTTTTCTATATTTCCATATTTCTGTACCACTTTAATAACTGCTTAACACTGTGCTAATTGATATACTGCAGCCCTGTTTGTTTGGGGGCTTTTTTTTTTTCACTCCCCTTATACAATGCTCTATAAACATATCCAATAAGTCTTGTTTTTCTTCTTTTGCTTGCTTGTTTTTGAGAAATTGTCAGAATTGGAATTTTTAGGAAAAAGAACATGATTATTTTATGGTTATCTACACTAATAAAAGAGAAACATGGTAATTAGCGTACAACCGCTACCCTTTTCATTGGCTAATCAGTGAGTATATGCAAATTAACTGTCAGCCAAGATGGCGGCCGGCAGCCAGGCAGCTGAGAACAGGATGCTTGGTTGCCCCAGCGATAGAGGAAACCAAGGTTCCCCCTGCAGCTGGGGGGGCTCTGAGCTCCTGAAGCAACAGCTCCAAAAGATACAATGTTTCAATTATAGAAGCTAAAAGATGGCGGTTAATCTGCATACTCAGGCTCCAAGCGGTAGAGCGAAGCCAAACAGCCCTGAAGCCGCAGAGCAGAGAGGCCTCACTGCCCGGGGATCAGC